CCCTTGAGGACTGGAGTTTGACACCCCTGATCTACCCTATTTAATTAACACATAATATAACAAACATTATAAAGGTATTATAAAATAAGGAAACCCTAATACTCTGGTGTTGTTTATAATATCAGTACTGAGCTATAATAACTATAAATTTCTTCGACTGCTTTAGAGCAATGGAAGCTGTAACTCATTGTTGCTTGTCAGAAGGCCCTGTTTTTACATTTAAATGTTCAAAGATTTAATCACTGCATTTTCTTTCAAAGAGTACAGTTAATAAAACTCTGAAGATGCTCTTGACTGTTCAGTACCTTGTACACAAACATGATGGCGAGCACACAGTGTTCTCTCAGGCTGACTTTGAACCCCCACTGCCTCTGGTTTAACGCTGCATGTGTTTGTGGATGAGGCATTAGCTGTATTAAAACAATTTAAAACAGAAGTCATAAATGATTTATAAAAATAAAAAAGATTTCTGTTGATTTAGTGCTCTTGCCCGTTTAACTTGTTAACACTTTTATATACTTTTAACAGTGCTTGTCAGCGTCACATGTTTGAAGCTGAAAACCGTTTCGATCCACTGCGTTACTCAACATCAACCTCAGTTTGTGAGAGATAAAGAACTCTGCAAAAGTTTCCCCTCGTTCCTCATTTCTTTTATATTTTGCAAATGTTAAAGAAATGTGGGATGCTTTAAGGCCTCTGCACAGTTTTGTAATAGTTTGCATAACGTTACACAACCATTACAAATCAAATGCACGGTTGTTGTTATGCTTGTTTATGAGTAGATTTTGGAAAAGTCCAGAACACGAGACACATAAAGGTCAGGTCTTCAACGTAATTTGCTTCAGAACTTTGAGCCTTCCTTTAGAGCTATAAAGCAAATAAACTCATAATTTCATCAGGGCTTCTAGCTAATAATTTCACCAATATAATGTTTTAATATTTACAAGTCCTCAAACATCTCTAATTCTCATTTACTAATATTACACGTATGCATGCTCCTCCTTACTGTACACTTGTCTAAATMCATAATCAGAAAAGAAAAGAAAAAGCTCTGAGTCTGGCAAAAGAAAAGTCAGACTTTTTGTGTTTCAGATTTTTAATAATCTCCATCCATTCCTGCATTTTAAATCATACATATTTAAAAAAAAGCTGTTTCAAATCTAAGTGATATTTATTTTATTGTCACTTCTTACATCTTCTGAATTTGAGAATGCCAAGTAATTTCTGTTCTTGTTACACCCCTCAATGTGCCTTAGATACAGTTTATATGAAAAGACCAACTGTCCCAGCTGTATGATGTGTTTTTGTGTAACGGTGCTGTTTTGTGTTGACCAGTCGTCCGTCCAGCACCATGGGAAAAAAGAGTCGAGTGAAGACTCAGAAGTCTGGCCTTGGGGCCAGCACCGTGGTTTCACCCAAGGAGATGATGAACCTGATCTCTGAGCTGCTGCAGAGTACGTTCATGCTTCATGTGTCTTTAGTTGGAGCAGTGTGGCTTAATTATTTCTGTTTACACTATTTGTCATGACATTAAAACAAAATGAAAGAATGATTTTCACTTTTTAGTGAAAAGAAAGCGATTTTGTCCACCAGTGAAGTTATAAAGCAATTAGAAAGTGTCRGTTTTTCTGCCAGTAGCATCTACATTTAATCTTTGTTTGCTTTGACTTCTTTTAGTGGTATTAAACTTACATACAGTATGTGGATGTGTCATTCAGAGTGCAGCAGTGCAACGCCCTCTGCTGGTAAAGAGTGGGAGGAGTACATCCAGATTAGAGTTTTGGTGGAGAAGATCAGAAAGAAACAGAAAGGTGAGTCTGTGCATGTTTTAATTTTCCTCCGAGCTGAAGAAGCACAAACTGATTCCRGTCTGGGATCAGTTCTGAACTCCTTTGTTTTCTGCTCTCAGGTTTGTCCACCATGTTTGATGGCAGCAGGGAGGACTACTTCTCAGATCTGATGTCCTGGGCGCAGGAGAACGGGGCGTCCTATGACGGCTTCACCGTGGCGAGCTTCGACTCGGAGGGCTACGGCCTRCGGGCCACCAGGGACATCAAGGTTGGGCTCTAAAGAGCTCGTGCTGATTTTCAAACACTCCKTCAGGTAGATGTGGAGAGATAAAAGTTTTGTTTGCGCAGGCTGAGGAGCTGTTCCTGTGGGTTCCCAGGAAGATGTTGATGACGGTGGAATCGGCCCAAAACTCTCTGCTGGGTAAGAATAATAT